CTGGTCTAAAGCCGCGCCGTCGTCCTTCCTCTTTCCTTTCCCTCTCACCCTGCTCGTCGGTGTTCTCCGTCTCCATCCCTTCTCTCTCTCTCTCTCTTTTTTTTCTTTTTTTTTTTTTTTTTTACTTAAGGTCGGAACCCGGCGCGTCCGGACTCGCCGGCGCGGTCGGTAGAAAATTTCGAGTTTACCCCCGAATTTCTTGTTGATCTTTCATCTCCCGGCTCTCGGGAGCGAGAGAGCGGCGAGTTATCGGAAATTCAGTGGAGTAAAAAGTTACTAGATTCGCGCGATAAATCTAGTTATTCGATCGCCAAGTGGTCCCCGCTAGATAAGAATAAAGTTTCACCCGTCGGAACACGCCGCCGCGCCCGTGTTGGGGAGACCAACTCTCGACGTATAGAACTTCGATTTAGGCACGTCCGCGTAATCAGCTGCCTAATGAGCCGAATCCATAACTACAGGCTGTTTCCGTAATGGCGGATCTTCGACCGGTCACGTCCGAGAGATCATAAATCACAGACGGTTTTCGCGCGGAGGAACGGGAAGGAGAGAGAGAGAGAGAGAGAGAGTCATCCTACGCGAACGCGGCGGGGAAATTTGCTTATATTCTTGTCTTCTCGGGATGTCGCGAGTTCATTTCATCTCGTGTTCGATCCGCGAGTTACGTATCCGTATTTTCGCCGACGGGAGAGGAAGTTTTCTGCGAGAGAATTTTTTTCGTCGGACTCCGCGTATAAACCTTTTGCCCCGGCTTCTCCGCGTGCTTGGTGCGGCCCCCGATATATACGCGCGAGTAAGTAGTTACTTACTTTTATTGCCGCGCGTAAACTGACACGTAATTTCTGCAAGCGCGGCTCTCGAAAACGTCGAACTTTAAACATATCGACTGTATGTGACTGCGACTATAATACTCTGGTAAATAGCGTTTCCCAAGACCGTGCAAGTGCAATCACGTTAGGGTCAGGGGAGAGAGAGAGAGAGAGAAGAAAGGGAAGGAGAGAGAGAGTGTACTAAAGATCCTAAGCGTATACGACGCATAAGTCGACCACTTAAAATGGAAACGTCTCGGGAAAGTCATACCTGAGAGAAGTTCAATTGGGCCATCGCGTACTCGGTACTCGGAATCAAATCAGTTTGGATCAATACGGCCCGATCTCGAGAGAGAAGGAACATTTCGATTGAAATACTAAGAATTTGCGAGAGGAGAAATAAAGAAGCCGAGAGCCGGAGAGCGTATATGTACGAATATATTCCCGAAGAATTATGATTCCTCGTAAGTCCCTGTTGCATTTCCGCATGAGAATTTCCGACGTTCACGTCAAGTGCCATTGCCCGTGATCGTCAAGCGTTGCCGAATGCTTTTCTTTCGAATTTTGTCAGTTTTGTATAATTGCAATTAGATAATTTTTCTCTGTCGTATCTTTTCTCGCCGCGACGTCTTTCTTCCCACGAGCACACGTATTGGCATTTTCTAACCATCTCTCTCTTCGGATAGTTCGTTAACTCTCGACAGGTCTCTTCTCGCGTTAATACGCACTTATTTTTCGTAAATTAAACCCCAACGTGTAGCTACGTACTTACTCGCGTTGCCTTCGGAGGGGCAAAAGTTTCAAGAATGAAGTTTCCAGATAAAATAGCGAGAGTTTTAATATCCGTACACGTAGTTGTTCTTTCATTCATTGTATCATTTCATCGTCCGAATCGACTTCCCCTTCTTTCGAATTCATTTTTTTTCTCTCTCGCTCTCTTTCACGCTCAAATCCGCTCCGTACGAAAACTATCGCCGTGGATCCACAATGGCTCTTCAATTTTTCAACCCTGATATTCTCGATATAACCGCTTCAAAAACGTCGGGAGCAATTCTTCCAATCGATCTCCGATATCTTGAATCTCGATTTCCCCTTTCACCCTCGCGCTCCCCCTCCCCATCTTCCCGCGATCCTACCCTTCTCTTAAATCTCGAAAACTACGTCCACCACGCGGGACGACAGGTATTGACAGAAAAGCAGCGTGACAGCTTCTCGTGTCGCTTAAAATCCAATATAAAATTAATATTCCGCCGGAGGCAATTTATTACAGTTTTCTAAGAGGACGAGGATATGAGTTATAGATTTTCAGCAGTCTTCTTAAAAATACTGGGCGCGCGCGCGCGCGCACGCGACGAAGAATAAATTGTTTATAAAACGGTTAAACGCGCGATGTATCGGAAATTAGGTTTTTCTTTTTCGAGACTTTTCAACGATAGTCTCTCGTTGTTATTCCGGTTGTGCGGAGCAGCTCACATTCTCTCCTCCCTTCTCCTCTTTGGATTAAAAATTACATTTGTACAAGAATCTGATACTCGGCAGCGGCGATGAGAAAAGCGGCGATACTTGCGGGAGAATTAAATTTCCTTCGCTTTCCCTCCTCCTCCTCCTCCTCCTCCTCCTTCCCGCTCTTCTCCTCTCACATTCAGTCGATCCGAAGAAGTTTATCTTGCTCTCGTAACTCGCAAAGTTGCGAGAAACATTGCATGTTCTCTCTCTCTAAGTAGGATTACGAAACTGCAACACTTAGACGTGCAGATAGACGTGTGTATCTTTTTTTTTTTTTTTTTTATTTTTTCTGTAACAATGTGATTTGTGCATCTTGACATACATATATATATATATATATATACAGAGTGTACATGCTTGCCAACGTTAGTTTTTGCAAACTAACATTCGCATAATACTTATTTGTTTACTTATTGTGAATTAAATGGGACGAGATCCCCCGAGAGAGACAGTAAGGGAAAATAAAAACAATAGGAAGCGCAGTGACAGATAAAAGAGCAAATGCGCGCGGATGGAGAATTTGAACAGGGAAGAGAATAATGGAAGCATAAAAATAAAAAAAAAAAATAAAAAAACAAACAAACAAACAAGTAAAATCTAACGAAACGCGCGTTATCCTTGAAGCGCGTTATTTTCACGTGCGCTTCGGTGCGCGCCTTGACAAATAGATTTTGTTGCAACGAATGTGTCGGAGAAAATGATGACACTCGCGCTAATATTAATAATCGCACACGAGAGATCCTAAATCGGCGCGGTATAATAATTCGTCGATTCGTTACACCGCCTCGCGGGTAAAAAAAAAAAAATGCTAACGCGAAACGGTCGGCGATCAAAAGAGGCGGAACCGTAAAAGAAGAAGAAGAAGAAGAAGAAAGAAAGAAAAAAAAGAAGTTCACGATCTCGCAGAGAGAGCGCGGATATTTCAATCTCTTCCCGTTTTGCGAAATAAGCATTCCGGAACAAACAAAAATTTTTTTTTTTTTTTAAAGCCGACCGTGAAGAGAAGAAAGAGAGAGAGAGAGAGACGGTCGCCGGAAGGGGGTTGGCGGTGGGTAACGCGCGAAAGCTCGCCGCCGACATTCCGGGAATACTGAGAATAACGTTTCGCCGGGGCAATAAAGAGATAATGCCGAGCTTTGAGAAAAGAAGAGAAACGTCCCACGGTAAGTTTCTTAACGGGACGTTCCGCGAACCTCCTATCCTCCCCGAACGAGGCAATTACAGGCCGTGGTTTACCGGTCGCGTTTACACCCGCAGCCTGCTTTCCGTCGTATACTCTCTAAGCTCCCTCCCCCGTGCGATCGTAAACTTAGCTGACGAGAGAGAGAGAGAGAGAGAGAGAGTGAGTGAGTGAGAAGAGAATAAGGGAGGAGGGAGGTTTCAACCCTCTTTGGCATTGGCGTTCGATATCTCGGGGCTGCGTCCCTCTTCGGCCGTCGTGAAAACCCCGGGTTGACCTCTTTCGTAGTATCAGTAAAAGTAATGCCGGGGGACGTGCGGAAAGGATACGTGAGAGATCTATCGCGCCGAAGGGGACAGAGAGGAGGAGAAACGTCGAAGTAGGATACTTTCAATAATGGTTTTCCCAAGGATCTCCCCCACGTGCGTGCTGTTTCTTATATTGCCATCGGGATCTCGTATCCGCGATCGCGGATGTCGCAAACGGAATAATCATTTCGCCGGGCGCGCTGATCGTTTTCTGATGAATACGCTTACCCCTTCCCCCCCCCCTCGTCCGCGTCACGCCGCTTATTCTTTATGGCGCCAATCACGATTACGATCGAGAGCGAAAAAACTTATGCGCCGAGAGAGTCCATTGATTGAGAGAAAAAGAAGAAAAAAAAAAAACAATGAAAGTCGTCGCGAGCTCCCTCCGTCAATATATATATATATATATATTTCCCGAATCATTTTTTCTAATTTACGTAACAATAACCCGTCTCGTTGTAATTTGCGACGATGAGCCGTTGCTCCGCTAATATTTGACGCCTAATGAATTAAGCGCAAAAATTGAAGGAAATTGGCGCGCTGACGTCGATTAAAACAGGTTGCGATGTACAACGAGCTTTATATATGTATATATATATATATACATGTATACATATATATATGTATATATCTGTGCATAAAGTAAACTTGTTAAACTCCTACAGTTCGGAATTTTATATTTGCTAAGAGTAATTAATCTCCTGTGAAACGGGATCAACATCGACAAGCTAATAGATACGGTATCTAGAGAAAAAAAAAAAAAAAAAAACCGCAGTACAAAACTCGTTAACTCGAGCCACACAGCCGAGTGCTCTCGCGTTCGGCGATTTTTAGAAACCGTTTCGTATATATTTTTTTCTTTTTTTTTCTCTCCCTCCCCACCCTCATATTCCACGCGCGCGAGTCTGCTTTCGCACAAATTTAGTAACAATTTTTTAGCAATTTTTATTGTACAAATTTTTATTGCGTGCGGTCGGTGAAAGTTACATGTGTGTGTGTGTGGCAACTTTTATATAGAAATAATACATATATATATATATATGTATACATTTCTCTCGGAATATTTGTGGTAGCTGCAATTGTATTAACGCTTGAATCAGTTTTTTTTTTTTTTTTTGTTTTGTTTTTAGACTCCTCCGATATCTTTGCGCAAGCAAATCGAGAACTAAACCATTGCCCCGTTTGTTTGTCCCACAGCGAATGCAAAACCGCTGACGTTCGACGAAGTCTACAACCAGAGTAGTCCGACCAACTGCACGGTGTACTGCGGCGGATTGACCAACGGTTTGACAGAAGAACTCATGCAGAAGACCTTCGCGCCCTTTGGAACCATTCAAGAAATCCGAGTGTTTAAGGACAAAGGATACGCCTTCGTCAGGTAAACACAAAATAATTAACGTTAATGCACGCTCGAGGAACAACAAAGATAATCCGGTATTTTTTAGCGGAATGTGCGTCAACTTTTTTAAATTGATCTCGCAGAAAAATATTCATTCGAAGAATCAGATGAAAATCTCGCGTAAGATGAATTTGACGCGCGGACGCAAAGAAGCTAATTACGCGGAAGAAAGTGAAAAATTTTTTGTTAAACAAAAGTGATGTTTCTTCACGAATACATTTTGCATTTCCGGGATCAATCTCTGTGTGTTATTGTCCGAGTATCATCGGGGGCCTTGTAGGCTCGCGCTTCTCTTGTTAACGCGCGCGTAATCACGCGCGAGATAAAACCGATAATTTTGAATTTCCCCGATTCCCCCCGAAGACTGTCAATGACATTGTCCCCGAAATGTGGGACAGATTGGTGTGTGTGTGTGTGTGTGTGGTACGGCGCCGCGGAAGCTTTTCAAGTTGTCAGTGCAACCTACCGCACGAGGTCAAATTCCCCAAGGCAGCTATAGGTTTCAGACACACCGCAATCAGAGAGATGATCGTTCGCCGTATCGCGAACGTACAATGCACTTCGGAATTGACTTTACAGAAGCTTAATCAAACACACGATGCAAACCGTACTATACGCAAGCGGGGGAGCATGTAAAACATAACGAAGGTGTCTGTGAAGACGCGCCGAACACAGAGATGCGCGTCGACAATTGATTTTTTTCATCGGGATCTTTGATCGCAAAACACAAACACACAATCCGGTGAAAAATTTATTTATTTATTTTTTAATTTTATTATTACAACGTTGACGTGTTACAAAATAACATGTAGGCTATGGCATTAATGGATAGCACCAAGTGGGGGGATGTTGTGTCTATTAATACGTCGCCACGTTGCCACACAACGCGCTCGTTATTTCGCTACGTTGCGGTTTTTGCAGTGGGGTCACTGAAAATAGTAACTGTTCTAGTTATCTTCTTTTTGCTTGACGTTCGTCATAAACTTAGCATCGCACCTGTGGAGCACGGGTAGCATTAGCCGATATTTTTTGCGCGCGCGCGCGATCCGCAATAATTTTTCATGCTCGCCAAAATAGATACGTTTGTCTAAAAATCAACCGCGACAAAACACGTTTTTAATTGAACTCGTCTTGAGACGAGGTGACATTTAATATTGTTTTTCGAACTGTCTGAAATATTAATTAGTCGCGCTTGATTTATTTTTTCTCGCTCTTCAAAAGTATTATTGTACGTTTTTTTTTTTTTTTTTTTTTGTTTTCTTAAAGAAAACGAGTATTTCAAGCATCGACTGGTTTTTTGCGCAAAAAAATACACGTACGTGCCCGTTACACAAGTTAATCCGCGAAAGAAATATTTCCGCTCGTGAAACAGCGAACATAAATTACAGCGGATTATCTATTATGATACGTCTTAATAAATCGTCGTAATTAAAACCCATTTTGCTCCATCTGTTTAAATCAGAAAATGATTTATCGATCATCTCGGACTCTCTCTCTCATTCTCTCTCTCTCTCCCCACAAAGAACACTTAGGGCCAATTCTCTGGATACGAAGAATTAAATGGAACTTTGGTAGCGAAATCCTTGAAACCATTTCGCTGATTATACAATCAAACTTCGTTAATTACTGAAGCTTTTTACCGCCTTGTAAAACCGGGGAGAAAAATCTAGGACAAAAACTTCATACATTATTGGCGTAAACGTTTTTATGAAATTTATCCCAATTTCACGGAGGATTGTTTCCCTCGCGCGCGGATAATACACGTAGTGATAGAAGTTCTCTTACGATTTTCTGTGCGCTTTTGTTTCTTTCCAAATTTAAAAAACGCAAAAGAATTAATTGATCACAAAGACGTGCAAAATATTTAGGCGCAAAAATCTGTCAAGAGACTAAACCGTTATTTTTTTTTTTTTATTTCAACGTTTCGACCGTCGGATTCTGCGTTCGGAAATAAAAATCGGAGATTTCGTCATCGCGCGCGGTAATGACAAAAAAAAAAAAAAAACAATTGCGGCGAGACGGCGAAACTTTTTTTGCGAAAAAAATCGCGCGCGACGTAATCGACGTAATTCGAGTCGTCGAATCACGCGAGATTTTATACGAAATGTTGTAGGAAATCGCGTGAATATAGTCGCATCAATACCCGCCGTCGTTTGTGATTTATGACACGAAACGCGAGAACATGTCGGGTCAATGGCAGCATGTCGGACTCATCAAGCGCCGCGTCGTGGCCATTTCATTAATCTACCCATTACATCCGCGCGGATCATATATTTCAGTTCAACTTGCCATAACCGTGACGAAAATCGTGTGTGTGTTTCGGGTACAAGAGGGGATTGTTAGATTTTCTTCGAATGAGAGAACGCGCGCGGGGAAAGAAAGAGAGAGAGAGAGAGAGAGAGAGAGAGAGAGAGAGAGAGAGAGAG